AAAATCTGATTTTGAGCGAAATCGCATGCGCACAGCCGAGCACAAAAGATCAGAATGAGCGATGAGCAGAAAAATCTGCTCTTTTTTAGAGCTTTGAGAGGACCTAATGTAAACTCGGTAATGAAATTCGTTACCGATTTTCAGATTCAAACACATTTTATTATTGAAATGTGTAATGTAAATAAATTGTGTCTGAAAAAATATTATGTAATAAGTCATCTTTTGTTTTCATATTTTGTCCATTGTTTCCTAAAAATATTTCTCTTCACGACAAGACAAATGTTCGCACGAATCAAAATATTTTGATTCATGAAACCACGCACCAAATATTTTGGTAGCAACATTTTTCTGTGCAAATCGCCGTGTTGTTAGTTAATTTCAAAATTTGATAGATTTTGGAGCCAATTTTTAAATATTAAAATTAAAATTAGTTTTAAAAAGTATTATTATTAAGATTTCTGAAAACCCGAGGACAATGTAAACTCGGTAATGAAATTTGTTACATAAATTAAATAAATTAAATAAATTTATTTAAAATACTGATTTTCAGATTCAACCACATTTTATTATTGAAATTTGTAATGTAAATAAATTGTGTCTGCGAAAAATGTGAGAGACAAGTGTTCTCTTGTTTTGTTGCATGAATGTAATGTTAGGATTCGCTTTATCCATTGTTTCGAAAAGACAAATGTTTGCAAGTGGCGAGGGCAAATATTTTGTTTGAGGAGACCACGGAGTACGGAGCGAATATTTTGTCCGGATTTGCTTATTTTTCTTGCGGATTTATTTATTTCAAGAAGCTTTGTTTCCCGAGAAGACGAAAGGGCAGGGTTCCCAATCGTGGTTTTAGTAGGTTTTTGGAGGGCTTTTGCGTCGGAAATATTTCTTTTGTGTGGAACAAATTGGTATTTTTTAATAGATAATATTTAAATTGTAATTCGAATTTGATTGATGTTCCTGTTTGTATATTTTTAATGAGACTATTCACGCAATCTTTGGTAACTTTGTAAAATCCGTAAATTGTGCAGCATAAATTTACAAAATTTTACAAAGTAAAATGACACCCTTGATATATGAATAAGTTTGCAAAAACATTTAAGCTAATTTTCCTCAGAAATTTTTCTAAGATTTTGTAAGTGTATAGAATTTACGGATTTTACAATGTTACCAAGAACTGCATGAACTATCAAGGCCTGAGTGAATTTGCTTCTTGAATTTCCGGTTTTTAAATTTTTTTACCGTAGAATTGTAAAAAAACGGTCCAAATTATTTGGTCGAAAATTTCGGAATTAAAATGTTAACGAACAAATTATGCAAGTTGGAAAGAAAATGCCTTAAATTTTCTGCAAATATTTTTCATTTATAATTTTGCTTTACATATTTCTGCTGATTTTCACATTAAGAAAAATAAAATACAAATTTTTCTCAAAACAACTCTACGTTAGGAACCCTGCGAACCGTGGACGTAACGGAAAATTGCGTCAGATACGTAGAAAAATGTAGCAGAATAAATAGTTCGTCATGTTAAAAATGTCGAACTTGATTCGAAAAGTATTTCACAAATTCGTATCAATCCTTCGATGTGGAGGTTTGTAAACTTTGTAAAGCCTTCTTCCACAAGTTCACGAAAGATTTGCAAAGTAGGATAACAAAGTTCTTGTTCAGACGAAGTTTTTGATAAACTCGAAAATTGGAAAATTCCCAAAAAATAAAAGTGCACTTTTACAAAACATTTAACCTTTTGTAGCAATGAGAGTTAAATTTGTAAATTTACTTATGCAAATTCCTCACTCTTAAGTTTACAACGTAGCAAATTTTAACAAAGTTTAAAAAGGATAATCACGTTGCAAAAGTGTATCGTTAACTTAAACAGATCAATGACGTATGTACATATGTATCCTTATTTTGTATATAAAAGTGTGTAACATTAATAATTATTTTACCAACCTTGCACAGTTTACAAATATTTGAATGAATTATTGAGCCAATTCACGCCGACCTTGATAACATTCTAAAATCATCCGAAAATTCTGTAAACTTAAAACAACCTTTTACAAAATTTACAAACATTTCCAATAAAAATTTGTATAGTAATTTTCGTTAACTTGCTCTGGGCGTCGTTTTATTTTGTAAAAGTTTGTAAAATTATTTTGCAAATTTTACTCATTTTATAAACACAGAATTGTCCCATTTTGTAAAACTTTTCAATCTTATGAAATTATAAATTTTTAAGTGTGACAATTTTCAAACAACTCGGGACAAGAATCTGCTTCACGTCTTGCGACGAAATTTAGTTCCCCTTTCTGTCGTGAAAATAAAAAGGGGGAACTTTTCCAGTAAAATGTAGCCATTTCATTTTTATCTCTTTTACAACTTTGTGGGCAAGGTCGAGGAAGAAGCGTAAAGTTTTTTAAGGGGACGAAAATCTAATTTTAAACTTGATGCGCGTCATTAAAAAAAGATGACGAGGATTCAAGTTCTGTGGTAATTTTGGACTTCAATGAGCCCGTTGATGTTAAAGTGAAGTAAAGAAAAGATCGTCTACTATGCGTTTAGTCAGATTGTAGTTCTGTTCTCCAGGGTTGCGAATATTTTTTTGCAATGTCACCCCCAATAAAGGTTATCAAATAATATGTACATTTTGGAATTTCACAATGGAGTTCTGCCAGCGTATGATGTAAGATTTTAACGAAATTTGTGTGAATCGAACACAAATTTAATTAGTGTGAAATTTGCAAACGACATGATCTCCAAATGGTCACGTTTGGCAGAGATATTTGCACCCGGAGAGGAGAAAGTGTGCCATAAAGTTAATAAATTTTACACTTTCCAAATTTACTACGCGTCGTTTGCAAATTTAACACCAATTAAATTTGTGATTGATTCACACTAATTTCGCTAAAATCGAAGGGCATACGCTGGCAGACCTCCATTGTCAAATTGGACAATTGTTTTTCTTTTGGTCTGAAATGAAAATGAACATACTCAAGCCACCCTTTGCATATCTCCCAAATTTAAATAGCATAACTTGTAAAGTTTTTCTAGATTTGGTAAAACTTTTCCCGGAAAACGATGGGAGTTTTGTTCGCAAATTTACCCAGGAACTAACTGGGCATTTTTTTATTTCACAAACTAATTGTCTTCATCAGGAGCGATAGAATTCCAGAAATCCATAAAAACTAAATTAGAATATGATAACTTGACTATTTTTAGAAAGTTGTGAAATCCTCAAATTTTCCCTGTAACAAATTTTGTAAACTTTACAAACTGTGACATATTTTATATATATATAAATAAACCTTTGTAAGTTTACGCTTATTTCAATTGGCAAACTCTTACAGATTGTTTTCTCAATTTTCCGAGTTTACGGTAAATTGAGTTTACAAGATTACAAAGATGGAAAATTGCAAATAAGCCTGGTATCTGCATTATAAATAATTTGCTAAAAGTCGTATAAATTACATTTTCGACTTCGAATCCTCTCAAATTTTAACTCATTTAATTCAAATCAGCTTCTTCAGTTTGCAGAGTTGTAGAATCTCAAAGTATGCGAGTTATCCATGGGATGCCTTATCGATCCCACACTATTAGAAACCTGGCATAGTCAGTCAGTATTGATTTCTCTGTATTAAAGTTGCTACCGCTTGATATTTAAATTATTCCCGTCCGCTAAAAGATTGTTACCGATGTGGTGAAACTTTAATACCGAGCTACATACTTTTCACTAAATATATGCTATTACTTATCTATACCACTTTTGTAGAGTCATGCGGTATACGAATACTGCTTGGTATTATTTTAATACTGGATTTCTAAGAATGCATCCAGAAAGCTCGATCAGCGTCTTGACCCTTCCACCCTAAAAAAAGGTCTAAATAAGTTCTCGCTGCGCAGCGAAATTCCGGAATTTATCATGAATTTGCAAAGTTTGCAAAAGTTGCGGTGAATGCACCCATTACAAATTTTCCCCGATTTCTCTCCTTTGTTATGCGTCCGGATTTGTCTCGTCTGTTCAGTTTGAGCCCAACTCTCACACCGACGACGAGACACTCCGTTCCACTCTGCATAGACTTCAGTTAAAACAGAGAAATTCTGAAAAAATAAAATAAAATAAAATACACAAAGATTAAGTTGAAAAACTGGAATTTTAAATAACAAATTTCAGATTTTATCAAGATTTGATTGTGTTGTGGCAAAAATATAACACAAATTGAAAAACTGGCAAAAACAAGGATTTCAAACTTAAAATTAAGATTTGACCAACAAATTAATATCATCGAATCAATATCTGTTAACTTTATATGTTACATCTGCAAATCTTAACCTTATTATTTACTTCAACGGTAACAAAATGATCTGATTTTTCACCATGGAATTATTAAAGTAATTAAACTAACTTCGGGAATTGGATGACTTCATCTATTGACTTTAGCCATTTTTAGCCCGAGTCAGGGCTTATGGAACCGTCATGTCCGTCCGTCAGTCTGTCTGTCTGTCTGTCCGGCACGATAGAGCCCAAACGGCTGAACCGATTGACTTGAAATTTTTACCATATGCATATTGGACAAAGTTAGGAAACGAGTTCGAAGATGGGCGAAATCGGTCCAGTGGTTGCCCGGTGGGAGTCATCGGAGTGGGTGGGGTATTATGCACCAAAATTTCAAAATTGTTGTAGAGAGCTGAAATTTGGTACAGAAGTTGCTAATGGCTCCTAATAGAAAAAAATAACTTCAGGTTGGAAAAATTTTCATCTTGAGTGACCCTAGGGGGTGGCCCATACTGATTTTTCAAAATCGTTATATCGAGCTGAAATTTGATATGGAGGCTGCAAAAGTGAAAACCACTGCTGGATAGCACATGCATACAGCTTAGAACTTCAGGATGTTAAAGAAGCCCACTGGTCATGGTGGCCAAGACACATGATTTGTAACTAATTCAAAAATTTGGTACCAAATGGTAGAAACTATATTTAACAAACTTTTAACCATCCACAACACGGAAGTTGGTGATATTATGTCGGTCAATTCGGAAAAAAATTAGAAGCGGGCTCGGACTTATTGAGGCAGGGACTATGTCCCTGACTCGGGCTATATGGAGTCTGCACTGTAGGTTTTAAATTTTAAACTTATTGTTAACGGTGGCAAAACCTACACAAAGTAAAAAAAATGTAATTAAAGTTTTTTGCCGTAGAATAATTAAGTATCTCAATTCACTTAGGTAATTATCTGCGTATTCAAAATAATACAAAATCGGTAGACAAACACACATCCAGTGAAAGTATTTAGTAGGTCGGCGTCCTGTTCAATAAAAGAAATTTATGAAATAGTAAAAATAAAATGAGAATTTCTTTCTTGATTGGAACATTGAAATCAAATTCCAACACGATAAAAAACAGGAAATAGACAAAAGATAATAATCTTTTCCAGAAATCGATCAAATTTCTTAAGACCAATGAATTAACTTTGAGCAAAGAAAGAATTGCACAGCTTTCACTTATCAAGTCGTCGTTCTCAAAATTGTGAAGTTGTCGGGTGAAAGTTGGCGAAGAAAGAAAGAAAGCGCGATATACACAAGTTCTGAAAGGTTGGTGACACAATTTTCGTACTTTTGGACAAAGTGAAAGTCGAAATTCTTGCCAGATTGGACACGTTTTTATTGACATTTTGCCCTGAAGAGAAAACTGAAAGAGAGCAACAGTTTGGTGGCGGCGTGTGGCTCGTCTGCATTTTTATGCGTTTCGTTCGTTGGTAAGTGGATTGGATGAAAGGGAAGAAATATGGAGAAAAACATGGGATTTTTTTTCCTTTGCCGGAGGAAATGAATGGATGTGACGAGTCGGTGAAAGCAATTGCGTTGGGAAAAAGATTAGGAAAAGTGACGGCATTTTTGACAATGACGATTTTAGTTTTTTACATTGATTCCAAAATATGTATATCTTCGGGTATGACTTTAATTTTATTTGTCACAAATAACTTGATAAACACTGATTTATGAAAATTTTTCTTGAAAACCAAACAAGTTTGACGCCGTTTTGATAAATTTATTAAAAATTAATTAGTAAAAAGTGCTAAAGAGTAATGGTCGCGTCTACATACGCAGAGTAAAAATCTATGCGGAATGTTTCTTGATTTGTGAGCTCAAAGCATGATTTTTGCGAAAAATTTTAGTTGGTCATCATTATGTAATTTTTCCTAATATCAGACGTTTAGCGTTGTTAAATTCCCGAGTTTTGTTGCACATTCAGTGCATGGCACACTTTTCACATTTCCTGAAAAATATTTATACCTACGGCTTTAATTGTATTTGCCACAAATAATCAATTTGATAGAAACTTGTCTTATCTTTACAAACTTTTACTTTAAAAAACAAATTTGACACCGTTTCGGTTAATTTCTTAAAAATTAAGTGGCAAAAAGGGCTAAAGATTAAGAAATGAATTAAGGGGAGTTTAAAAGTAGTATATTTTTTCTAGGGAATTTGTACGGATGAAATTATGTAGGTGAAAGGTTATAAAGAAGTCATCATTTTTTATGAAAATGATCCATTTTTTCATAGTTTATTAACCTCTTGACACCTTTAAAGTGGTGTGTGTTATTTTATGATGTCACATCATGAAGAGTAATGATGTAGCATTTAAAAACCCGGTAACACATGATAAACAATGTACTACCGCGTGGGTGGTGGCGTAAGTAAATTGCACTCTTAATCTGATAACATGTGTCCGTCCATGTATGTTCTCCTTGCCAAAAGTGTTATCAAACCGATAACAAACTATTTACAGACAAGATTTTTGATTTATACGTAAGCTAATTTTTATTAGGAGTAAAAAAATTATTTTGCAAACCACAAAAAATTTGCGAACATTTTTTGCGAAATTTTATGTATAGATTTTTTAAATTACGTAAAAGCATCAATATTCAGAGGAAAAAAAATTTGCCAACCAAAATTTAGATTGCAAACCAGCTTGATTTTTTTTAATTGCGTAAAAGTATCCATTTCCGCGTCTATGAATTTATCACAGAAATCGCGTGGGCATTTTTTTGGCTTCAGTTATGCAACTCTAGTTTTTTTCGGTGAATGGATTTCCCTGCACAGGAAAAAAGTTTGCGTATGTATGATCCATTTTTCTGCGAGTGAGATAACATTTTGTGCCTTGTCATGTACACACCAACTGTTCCACCAGATGCGTCGCCAGTCAAACGAACCGACAAAAATGTTGCCAAAATTAAGGCGAAAAAAGAGATTATATTTTTACGCAATAATTATGCAATGAAAAAAATGGTTATATTTTATTTCTCGAATTGCTTCCCATTCTGATTAAATTTTTAAATGATTTTCAGGTCAGTAACGACGAACCATCGTGACGGAGAAAGTTCTGGATTTCATGACAAATTCTGCTGAACAGTTTAATGTGAAACTTCGTAATTTCTAAAAATAAAAACTGAGAAATTCAATTTTCAAAATGTTACAAACTTTTGACTCTTGCGGAGATATTTGTAGAAAATTTGTGGATTTTTTAAAGATAAAGTAACTTGAAGAAATTGGTGAAATTTGACAATTGGTGGTTAAAAATAAGCAGCCACGATGGTGGCACGAAAAGGACTTCTCGCCCCACAAAACACTTTCCTCGACACAATCGCGACCCGATTCGATGGAACACGTAAGTTTTTTCTGCCTTTACTTTCTCTTAAATTTTGGAATGAAATGACATAAAAAATAAGGGGGTTTGAGTGGTCGGGAACGTTGCTGCTATTTGTGAAAAGGACATTATATTCCAATCGCGAACTATTCGCAATCCTACCCAAAAACTGGACACGCATCGATTACATACATAAGTTCATATTTTTTTTATGGCATTCCCCCATGAATACCCTCCGGAAGTGAAAGTATTACAAAGAATATTCGATACACACCCAAAATATAATGCAATTTTTTGCACGAACTGCCAAAAAAGTTTCGCAGTAGTCTTTTTATCAATCCAGGAAAAAGATTTGAGTAGTCGGACGGAAACTGTGGTGAAAAGTGCAAACTTTCTTTGGGATAGATTTCATCCTAATTTTCAAAATTTCTTAACGAAAGTACGAACCGATTAATTTCTGATTGTTTTTTTTACACGTCAAAATATTCTGTGTATTCTTGTAAACATAAGATCCCTTGATTAAAAAATGCATATATACGTAGTTTTGTCATCACCGGATGAATTTAATTCTCATGAAAAATTTAGTGAAAGCGTGAAAATTATTCTTATCCAAATTGGATGGGGTTTTAAATACAAAATTTTGAGAAGGTTTACAAATGTTTAATTTTTCCAATAATTGAGCTCCAAATCAAAATATTTTCGAATATTATAAGCGGAATATGAAAATAGATTTCATACTTACAAGGGACACTCACGACCTGTCGTTTGAGTCCAGGGTACCCACCATGTTTTTTAGAATCTACTAGGACCCCAGATGAAGGATTCATTCATATTTCCGTGTAAAACTCATATTTGGCGACGTGGCGTGGCGCCAAATTCGCCAAAATTGAATGTTTTTATTTTTGAAACCGCCATAACTTTTGAAATCCTGGACGGATTTTCAAAATTTTTGGCAAAAATCATGACAAGGAGTTCAACTTTCTTATTCCATGAAATTTTTTCTAAAATTATTGCTTTTAACTTTTCGCAAAATTTCGTAATTTTCTTCGAAATGGGGGGGTCTGTCGAAAAAATCCTAAAAATATTGCAAAAATTAGAAATTTTTTATTTTTATTTTTTTGTCAAAAATTTCGACTTTTGTGATCATTTTAAGCATACAATTTTGAAAATCCGACATAAACTGCAAAAGTTATGAGGGTTTGAAGTTGGTCGAAAATGCAAATTTTTAAGTTTGGCGCCACGCCATGGCGCCAAATATAAGTTTTACACGGAAATATGAATGGATCCTTCATCTGGGGTCCTAGTAGATTCTAAAAAACATAGTGGGTACCCTGGACTCAAACGACAGGTCGTGAGTGTCCCTTGTTAGATTCACGTTAGTTTTTGTAAAGTACGGAAAACAATGTCTTTTAAAATTTCAAATTTTCATTTTACGACTTGAGCTGAACAAATTCGATTTGATCTATTTTGCTATTTGTGTAACGATTTTTTTTGCGTATTACACTAGCGACAATTAAGTCTAGCATATTTTTTTAATATTTTCCTTTTTTGCACTCAATTTTTTAAATAAATTTTTATTACAAATTACACAATCAATTATTGTAGCACCGAAAATTATAACGTTCCATTAAAGAATGAAAAGTTGGGGTTATCTCAAAATTCGTGAAATTGATGGCATTTTAGAAATTTGCATTTAATGAGATTGAACAGGGGTAAAGTGAGATTAAGAATTTATACTGGATCAAATCGTCATCCTATACCACCTTAAATTAACTCTTGGCCAAATTTCAGTAAAAATAAATAAAAAATTTGTTTTTTTTCAATTTGTTTTCAAAAAATAAGGTCCACCAATAGCATCATATTTTCAGCGTATCAAAGACAACGACATCATCGGCAGTGACATGATCTTTCTTACACATTTTGACATAGAGGAACCGCATGCGATTATAAAGAATGCACGCCTGTTACGGAAGTAAATTGTCCAGAAATATCCTAGAAATTTATCTTTTTTATACTCTTAACTTCACTTTTCATTCTACTTTTCCAAAATTATTGAAATGACTCTACTTCTACCAATTAAAAAAATAGCAACCTATTTACTTATTTAGTAACGTTGTGACTTGCTAAAATGTTGATCAAATAGTGGAAAACGTTTCAGAAAAATTAATCTAAATTGTGGAAATTTTTATACAATTTAATTTAGTAATAGTTTTCATCCGTGTGTTACTTAATGCAACTTTGAAGTAAAAATCAGACTCTTCAGAAATATGGGAGTGGGGCCTATTTGCAAAAAATAAATCTCAATCTTTCTGCAGACGAATTTAATTCACCTAAATTTTTGTATTTAAGTTCTCCACGTTTTTGAATTATTGAAATGGCGTCTGAGCTTAACATGGCGTACACCATCAACAAATTTTTTATGCAATATTAATTAATTAAAATGATTTATACAAAATTGGCAAAAAACACGAATAAAATTCGTTCACAATAATTGCCGATTTTATTTGTAGGCAGTTTAAAACGACGCATCCTTTACCTTAGAATATATTGCACGATTTAATATAAAGTTAAAATTTTGCGGTGAATTTCATTAGAAAATTTCAAACAACGTAATTTTCCCGAAATTAGAATAATATTGCTTTCTCTCTTTATAAATGAATCCACTTGTTGCTCAAGGTTGACAATTTTTTCAAATTTTTATGATCAAGAATTGGATTGATTTTGATGCGATTTCTGAAGTAGAAACGGTATTTTTTCAATTATATGTTTCCCAAATATTAATTTGTACACTTTATAACTTACGCAGTGAATTCTATAATCAAACTTCAAACAGAGAATTTTTCTCGAGATGTGAGATGAGAATATGTAAGAATTTTGCTTCCTCTCTTTGAAAATGTAATCTGATTTCTGATTTGATTTCGAACTTATGATTTTTTTTAAATAAACAAAATATTTTTTGAGAATAATTACTCTTAAACAGTTTTGTATGAAAATCGTAAAACTAAAAAATTACTCAGAAATCTTGAACACTGCATTGAATGCGTCGAATCTAACAACCCCACAAATAAATAGACACAAGTTACCATTTTTATTATAGTCGTCAAAACGGATGAAAATTTGCCACTTTTATTCAGAAACTTCAAAAAGACATTTTCTCGAGATTAGAATAATATTGAGTCCACTTGTTGCTCAAGGTTGACACATTTCCTACCAAAGAAACTTGTTTATTCTGGTTTTTATTTCACTTTTTCACAGTTGGAAATGTTTCCTTACTTGCTTTTCCTTTTTTGAGGGATAAATTTTGCAATCCCATTTTTCATTTGATTATGAACTTATGAATTTTTTAAGTATAAGAATATCATTTAAGAATAATTGTTCTTAAATAATAATAATAATAAATAATTGTATATAAATCCTCCAATTTGTTACAATCATGACAGATTTCGAGATCTATTAACACCATTACTCAGCAGGCATAAATTATTAACTTTTTAATATCAGAATGAAATATTGCCACTTTAGCGTGAATTTTATTTAAAATTTTAAACAGCATTATTTTTCTCAAAATGAGAATAATATTGCTGTCTCTGTTTAAAAATGTGTAACTCAAGGTTGACACTTTTCTTCGACAGAAACTTATTTGCGGATTTTCGGTCTCTCTACTCGTTTTCCTTTAGAGGACGGATTTGTATTCTAATTTTTTATTTAATTTTGAACCTATTAATTGTGTAAAATAACAGTGATATTTTTAAGAATAATTAAGAATCTGGTATGAAAATCATATAATTTATTGCGCCACAGGGGATAAAATATAACCTTAGAATGATATTCTATAATTAGGCATAGATCACTAACTTTTTAATATTGGCGTCAAAACCTACGAAATTTTGCAATTATTTCATGAATTTTATTACGAAACTTGAAACAGAAATTTTATCAGGAAAAGAAAAATAGTGCTTTCTCTCTTTGAAAATGAACTTCTGCTCAAGGTTAACCGATTTATATAAGATGTGGTAAACAAGAATGTGGACATTGATTTGACCCGCAATTTAATTGGATTAATTTTTGTTTCAATTTCGAAACCATTTCTGAAGTTAAACTCGTATTTTTTTTAAAATAATTAGTTCCGCAAGTATTAATTTGTACACTTTTCGACCGGAATTCACCATTCAAAAGTATCTTACCTCCTCCTGACGAAAGCATGAATGTATATTGTACAATATCCATCAGTCAAGATTACCCATATTTTAATACCAAAACTCACTTCGTATCAAATTGCGCAGTGAGTTTTACACTTACAAAATAGAATCTCTTTCTGGAGATGAGAATAATAATGCTTTCTCTTTTTAAAAATGAGTCCACTTGTTGCTCAAGATTGGAATTTTCCTCCCAGTAAAAGGTGTTTATTAAGGATTTGCTCTCATTTTTGTTTAGAGATGTTTCCTTATCCACTTTACTTTTGGGGGGATTCCCATTTTTTATTTAATTTGTGAAAAACTATAATTTTTTTTTATAAATTAAAACGATATATTTCGAGAATAATTAAAAACTTTGTTAGCAAATCGTAAAATTTATCAGTCAGGGGAGGAGACAAATAGGTCTAGTAGTAGTTTTAGTAAGAAAGCATAGATCACGATTTTTTTAAATATTGGCCTGAAAAACCTCAAAGTTGCATGCATTTTATTACGGAAAAATAAAAATTTTCTCGAAATGAAAATATTTTTGGATTCTATTTTTTAAAATAAATCGACTTGTTGTGCAAAGTTAACACGTTAAAGAAACATGTTTATTGCAGATTTCCTTTCAGTTTTTCCAGTTTGAGATGTTTCCTTAGTAGTTTTTCCTTTTGATGAATTTTGAATCTCATTTTCATTTGAGTTTGAACTTATGGATATTTTATGTAAAAAATATCTTTTGAGAATAATTACCCTTAAATAATTTTGTATGAAAATCCCCAAATTTAGTAGGCATACAATAATGACAGACTTCGAGATCTATTTACACCATTAGTCAGCAACCAT